AACAAACTCTGCTCACATTAATTTCGATGCCGAGTCTGGGAATCAACCCAAGACCCCAGAGATGAGAGTCAAGTGTACTACTGCTGCTGATCACCCTTGATTTCATGCATAGCCTGGTGTATTGTCTATGAGAATAGCCTGAAAAAAACATAAGATTTTCAACCCCCTAACCCCCTCCCCCCCATCCTGTGTGCACTAGGGGCAACAGAGTCAGGGAGGAAGAGTAATACTGTTTTCTCAGCCTTTGTTTGAGGATTTCTTTTTGGTTTTCCATTTCAGTATTCTCCTCTTTGTGTGTGGTTATAYAGAGAAGGTTTTGCAAGATTCTCCAACACAAGATATTCACTGGACTCTATCGATGATTCTTGTATCCACTTAAAAATTCTAAATATGCTTTTATATTTGTGCTCAGAAAAACCTCTATTTGCTTTTGAAATTACTTTGCCATGTAATATAATTTTATCATAATAATTTGTAGCAAATATAATTACTACTAATAATAATATTGTTATTAATATTAGTAATAATTGTTACAAAACTGAGTATACAGTTATTTCAAATAAGGTTGGTTGAGGTTGTTGCATGTCGCATGCCGTTTACCAAGCCTGAAATGCACTATGGGTAATGTGAATGCAATTAGCAAAAGGTTAAAAAATATTGGTCCAAAATATTGGCCATTTCACAAACTTGCAAGAGACTATGGCAAGTTTTGAAGTTTAAATTATTTAGGCCAAACAAAAAAATAAGTGTGTTTCCTGTTGCATGAGAAAAATAATTGGGGACGGTAGGTCAGATTTTTTTTACTGATACAACAGTGGAAATGAGCTTACTGGGAACCCTGTGGTGCATTTGGGAATGGAAAAAATATTAGGGTCGGCAATAATTGGCAAGAAAATTAGGGTCAGTTGCGCAACAGGAAACACACTTATTTTTTTGTTTGGCCTTAGCACAAAAAATTTTTTTTCTTAATTATAAGAAATTATTATGCAAAGTAGTAAGTCTGGCAAATTTGATATTTCAATGCAGAAAATTTGCAAAGATACTACTGCATATTTTTTTATTACTCAGTGTTCAACTTATATCATTTAATATGTCATTTATATTATGCTTTATGTACTGATGCAGCTCAAACTAGATTATACTATTTTTCTTGACTTAATAACAACAGATGTCCATCTTACTAATGTAGCAATCCAAAAAACTGCACCAGACTACGACCCTGARAAGGTATTTGGTCGTAATGTGTAGTTCTAGAAAATATCCATGTACCTCCACCA